TTTCGTGACCCAATTGTATTTTTTCTAAAATTACATTTTGGTCCTTAACTTTTCAAAGTTTATACTTTGGTCACTAAACTTTACCAAATTATAATTTGGTCACTAAATAAATCCATTTATGGAATAAAATTCTTTTTGGGAAAATTAACACTTAATTCCTTAATTTTTCCCCAAATTTTCTACTTTGACCATCAAACTTTCAAAATTTACATTTTGGTCATTATCTAAATTTTTGGGGTATTACAAGTAAAGATTTTAGCACATGGAGTTAAAGAACTGAGAAATAAGACGATTCCATTGGTAAAAGTTCTCTGGCGAAACCATAAAGTTGAGGAAGCAACTTGGGAACAATAAGAAGATATGAAGGAAAAGTTTCCTCATCTATTTAATGCAAGTATATAAATACGTATAGAAAATTCGAGGACGAATTTTATTTAAGGGGAGAGGAAATGTAATACCCTAAATTTTGTATAGTGACTAAAATATAAGTTTTTGAAAGTTTAGTGGCTAAAGTATAAACTTTGAAAAATTTAAGGATAAAAATTGTAATGCTTAAAGTTATATATTTTAGCCTGTAAATGAACAGTTTGGATTAAAACATAGATTTTAGTGAGAATCATATTTTTGATACGGGAATTATGTTAAAAGCTAGAAAGCGGTAAAGTTTGATATTGAAATCGGATAATCGAATTGAGCCGAAATTTTACGAAAATTTGAAGGATGTTATAAAATGGTTGGAAATATTATTTTCATATTTTAGATCAGAGAAATTTGGCTCAGAACAGTGCAATTTTTCAGATTTGACCGAACAGTGAAATTTTGGTGACTAAAATGCAATTTTTGAAAATTGCATGGTCAATTTCGAAAGTCAAAGTCAAGTTGTATCATCTTTGACGAAGGAATATTTATTGGAAGATAAAACAATAACATTTGGTAATTTTCAAGATTTATTAAGGATAATTTTGAGATTTTTCATTAATTGAATATTAAATTCAATTAAATTAAATCTTGCCAAGTGTATTAAATATTATATATTAGAATATTCAAGATAATGAAGCCATTTTCAGCTTCTTTCTTCACCAGGGACGAAAATCTCAAGATAAAGTAGGTAAGATTTTTATTTTCATTTTTGAAGCTATTTTCTTGAGAATTAGACTTTGGTGTAGTTCGGAAAAATGTTATACGTTCAATTCGCTACATTTTGACATGAATATCACTAGGGTTTATGTTCAAGTTCATATTGAGTTAATGAAGGGGATGTTGATTTCTTGTGTTTTAGGGGTTATGAAGAGTTAAGTGATTTTAAAGAATTGGTTGTAAGAATTGATTAAGAACCTAAGGATAAAGTTAATGAAAACAGTTTAGATTTTGAATCTGGCAGTGAGTTTGAAAATTTACCAGAAATTCTATAAAAATTATTTGGAGGTGATTCATATATATTGTGTTTGTATATCAATATAGTTTTGTTTAAAACAAACGAGAATCAATTTCAAGGTGTATACATAAAGATATGAATTTTTAACCGATGAGAGGTCAGAAAAACGGGCAGCAGATTCTGCACAAAACAGATTCTGTCGGTCAACTTTGAAAATTCACCAAAAATTGTACAGATTGAATTAGAAGGATTTATTTATATGGATAGATTCGTATTCGAATATAGTTTTCAAAATAATAAACGGAATTAAAATCCAGTGTGTATATGAATACATAATATTGATTCTTTAAAGGTAGTGCAAGTTGTCTGAATATGGAAATTTTAGAATTTAAGTTGAAATGATATTAGAAGTATTCTATGTGATTTGGGAATTCATTTGGATCAATTTGGAAGCATAGATAAGAAAAAGGACTAGTTTCCAAGTTTTGAGAATTGTGAGACTTTATTGCAAGAATGTAATTTTTAAAAGGTTCAATGCTGATTTTTGGTGCTTGAATTGCTGGAAATTTAATTTGGAAAGTTGATTAGAGTTAAATTGCAAAATTTGGAATTTTTAGGTGGGAATTCGAAAAGCCTTGATAATATAGGGATTTGGGTGTTAATTTTTGAATGTAAAAGTATCATTTGGGTGAGTTAGAATAATTCTGGAAATTCTGGAAAGTGTGCTTATTTTGGAGTTTAAGTATTAAATTGGGATTGAATTTCAAGTTTATCAAGTTGTAAGGTTGAAATTGAAAAGTCTAAGAAAGTTTAGAATGAAATTATAAGCTTTTGAGTGTTGAAGTATTGATTTGAACTTTTATTTTAGTTGCTGGAAAATTTTATATGTTTAATAGGAAATGATCATAATAGTGAAGAGCTATTACGAAATTAAAGGAAAAGTTGAGTTGAATTCTAGAAAGAATTTAAAATATGTGGTTTGATTTTATAATTTGTAAAAAGTTTAAGAATCATGTTGGAAATAATTATTTGTGGAATTGAATAAGTGTTTCGAGAAGTTTGAAGTTATAATGGAGTTATGAGTTAGGTTGATATCGATTTAGAGATCGATTTTATTTTATAGATTTTCAAGTGTCAAAATGAGCTTATGTTAGAAAGATACTAATATGTAGTTAAACATTTTGTGTAATAATTCGGTATTGTCAGATTTCAATAAAGCTAGAAATCCGAACGATCTAAAAGGAAATGACAAAGCTCGTGACTAAGATTATTGTATACAAGTTCTGTAGTGAGGCAAATGTGAGTGCAGTTTATTTATTTAGTTCTTATGATTGAGGACGACTTGTGATAAGTCAACCTCACCTTGTTTATTTTCAAAGATAAGAATTTTGTTTTGATTATGGAATTATATTTGTGATATTTTAATAAGTTTTATGAGGGTATGAACTGCTCATGTCACATTTTACGAATGTGAATTAAATATATTTATGATTCTGATATGATTTTAAATTTAGTTAGGTCTTACGTTTTCTGTCTATATGTAGAGATTTTTACGCAAGGATGTATTTGCAATGATTACTTCCCATTACAGAAGCGCATATGAATATTGCATATGAAGACTGTTCAACTATGTTTATATTTATTTATTTATACATGCATTGCATTTTATATTTATTTTTAATTTGTTGACTGCCGGAGGTCTTCCACGGAAGCTACTCCCAACCTGACGTTGGGGGCAGCCTACTACCCTACCTCCCCCTTACCCCATTGCATATGGGAATAGGGTTTTGTTGTTGTTGTTGAAATGAACTAAAAAGCCCACTGTATGTTATATAGAGAGTCATAGGTACAATTGGCATGCCATGAGGTAGAGTGATTATATGTTTTTGATTTTGATATATTGTGGTGTACCAGAGTGTACACTAGTATATATATTTTGATCTGAATGCACTTGGTGTGCATATTGTTATTTCCGATGTGATAGCACTGTGTGTGCTTATCTGTTCCGACTCTGATTATCTGAGATCTGTGTTGCGCACACTCGTCTGATTCACGTACCTTATATTCTCTTAAAATATACTTTGGGCTACAAAAATGAAATATGAAAGTTATGAAAAGTGTCTGATTATAAAAGAATATGAATTGATTATTCTATCTGATCTGATTTATTATGATTTTGTGAAAATCATCAGATGATTCTTTTCAGGTTTCTGATAAAGTTCAGCATGAGATATCCGGTTTGAAATTCTGAAAGTTTGTTTATTTTATTTTAAAATAAATTTATATATACTTTGATACTTTATTTATTTGTTCTCACCTTTAGTATTATTGCCTCACTAAGTTATACTTAGTGCGTGATGATTTTCATGCGTATGGTTTGATTGAGATACAGACGTTTTATGAGGAGCCTTCCAAGCATCATGTGCAGATCATCTATAATATCAGTATCAGCAAGATATCATTGAATTTTCTTTTGACTAATAGTGGCATGTATAATTATGTCAATAGTTTCTATTTATCGTATTTATTTTAAATAATTTGTAATAGTAAACTAGAACTATTTTAGTTTATTTTACTTAGATTAGTTTTATTAGTATTTATGCATGAAAAGAATATATTATGTTATTATGTTTTTAAAAGATTTCACGAAAAGACATGGTTTAGTAAAATTACTGATTAACAAATAAATTTATTTTCCTGTGACAGAATTAAATTATAGTTGAGATATACTCTAAATAGATTTTTAAAGTTAGAATAAAAATGTTTTCAAGTGAAACAATTTTTTAGACAATTTCAGTTCAATAAATGTTTTTAATTTGATGTGACATATTTGACTCGTATATCGAGATATATACGGGTTAAGGGTGTTACAACCCGAATGCCAAACGAGCCTATCCCAATGAACTTTAGCTCTATGCACCTCGCAACTCATTCCATATTAATCGTAAGGAAGAGAATGAGTCACCCAACGAACTAAGGATCATACCTGCTTTAGTTCGAAGATGCAAAAAGGCACCTCCATGTCCAGCTACAATTCTAGGGGCATGTGATCTGCCAAAAAGAATTGGCATAATGTAAATAAATACCCCTAACGTTTAGCACTATATGCATTTGTGCCCAAATCGTTTTTTTGGAGCAGTTCTACCCACAACGTTTAAATCTGATTCAAAAGTCACCCCCGTTGGATGGAAACCGTCAGTCAACTGACGGTCAACGACTCTAGCTGACTAAGCAAGCACAGGTAGACAGTGATGATGACATGGCATGTCCACGTCACTAATATATACCGACGTGAAATTGACATGTCAGCAAATTTTTTTTATTTAAAATTTTAATTTCAATTAGATTTTTGCACCAATAAGAGAGTGACACGTGTCACTCTCCTACTGATGTGTATTGGCAAAAATAAAATAAAAGGCTCTTATTTGAGTGGAAGGAGAATCGAACATGAGGCAAGGGCATGAAATAGGATGGCCAGGCCAAGCATGTTATTCAATTATATATTTAAAAATATTATTTAACCCATATTAAATCCAAGGCTCCATCGATATTCCAAGGCTCCGTTTCGGTTCTCATCTTGACCCGAACTTCTGATTTCTTGGGGTACTTGAAATCCTACGTGAAGGAGGACGATAGGGTTTTGATATTAAAGTTGGTCGGTGGGCTTTGCGTGGCGGTTTTTTGCTTGGAATGGCTCGTGTTGGGACTTGGTTTTGTGTTGAGGTACTATGCTTTCGTTGAAGGTCATCAAGGGGTCGTTAATGGCGGACAATCGTCGTTTCAGGGGAACAGGAAAGTTCAAGTTTAAAGAAATGTTAGTCTCGACTGTCGAAATTTCCAGATTTTTCCGAGTATTGTAAAGCTCTGCTTTTGATTTCATATTCTTGTATTGTTTGTTTAATCATTAGTTTGTGATAGTGTGATTGACAACTTCGGGTGGTGGCGGAGGAGCATGTGCCAAGGTTTCCCCGGTGAGTAAGCTTGCCGTCCCACTGAAGCTTCTCGTGCTCGAAGACAACGGACGGAAGTAATCGTCAGATCCTTACACAGCTCCCGCTTGTCTCGCTTGATTAAAAATCGAATCCACGTCGTGAGGCTTCGAAGGATCTCGAACCACCATCCCACTGCTCACCCAAATTAACAAACTGAAAAAACAAAAATAATGCTAACAAAAATCTAAGAGAGCAGTAAAAAATATTAAGCCTTTTGTCACCTCCGGTGAAATAGTCCTGGCCTCATCAGAGTCGCTGTCGGACCCACCGGGAGGGGTCCGGTTCAGATCGGCGAGGGTCCGAATTCCCCGAGCGTTGCCACCGCCGCTACTGGACGGTTTCTTATCAGTGCAGCGCGACCTAAGCCCGTAAGGGGGCGAGAAAGGCGTGCAGGGGAAGGGGAGCGGGACCTAGAAGGCGATTGTGAGGGAGAATAATCAGGGGAATCGGAGGGCGAGGAAGTCGGGGAGTTGTTAATGGCGCCGGAGAGGGGCGGTGCGATCGGGTGCGGTTGGTGTGCGGCGGTGGAATTGCTGTCGAGGAAAGTTGAAACGGATGCGTCGAGGTCCCACTGGTGGGATTCCAAAAAGAAGAGGGCTTCTTCTTTAGAAGAAGAAGTGATTTCGATGAAGGAGTTGATCAAAGCTGCGTTTCGATCGGCGGTCGGGTCACTGGGATTTCCTTGCCGCGGCGTTTCGTGCTCCATTGTTGAGTTATTTTGCGATAAAAATAGAATGGACGACAAAAGTTCCCAACTCAACTTCTTCTATCTTTGACATTAAACTGAACATTTAATAAGGGTTAAATAATCTTTTGGTTAATTATATAACTGAATAACATGTTTGGCTTGGTGGCAAGGGCCATTTCATTTCATGCCCTTGTCTTATGTTCGATTCTCCTTTCACGCAAATAAAAGCCTTTTATTTTATTCTTGTCAATACGCACTAGTAGGAGAGGGATATGTGTCACTTTCTTATTGGTGCAAAAATTTAATATTTAATTGAAATTAAAATTTTAAACCAAAAAAAAAAAAAATTGATGATGTGTCAATTCCATGTCATTATATATATTAGTGACGTGGACATGCCACATCATCATCACTGTTCACCTGTGCTTGCTTAGTCAGTTAGAGCCGTTGACCGTCAGTTGACTGACGGTTTCCATCCAACGGTGTGACTTTTGAATCAGATTTAAACGTTGTGGGTAGAACTGCTCTAAAAAAACGATTTGGACACAAATACATATAGTGACAAACGTTAGGGGTATTTGTTTGTATTATGCCAAAAGAATTTTACTTCACAGTATACGCGTGCACCCATGCCACCAAAATAGACCCCTCCTTTAACAACAATTTCCCACTCAGGCCAATAAAGCACGCATGATTCCAAACCTTAAGATCCTTAACGCCAAGACCTCTCTCGGATTTGGGATTACAAATGGAAGACCAGCTTACTCTAGCCCCTTTCACTGGCTTATCTTCACCTTTCTATAAGAACCTGGAGCAAAGTTGGTTAATCATTTTAATCACAGCATCAGGTAACAATAACTGATTGCTTCAGTCATTTTATATGCTATAAATGACAGATTGAATTAACTGGAACTGACCCGCATAAGAAAGGACTCTAGCTTGCCAACCCTGAAGTCTACTAGCAATCTTCTCAACAAGCGGCCCACAATCCCTAATTGTTAATCTTTTAGCAATAAAGGGGACCCCAAGTACCGAACAGGGAGTTTCCCACTTTTAATCCCAGTGACATCGCAGACCTCACTCTGCATAGATCCATCCATACCAGAGAAGAAAATTTCAGATTTTCCAACATTTAACTGCAACCTAGAGAAACTATGAAAAACCTTTAAAACCTCCCAGACACCCAAAATAGAAGCCGCAGTACCCTTGGAGAACACTAACAAATCATCAGCGAAGCAAAGATTGGTGAGCTTTACCCTGTGGCACTTAGGGTTGTACTGGATAACTCCAAACTCCGCAGCTTTGTCAAACATCTTGGATAAAACGTTCATGGTGATGACAAACATATATGGGGATAAAGGGTCACATTGACGAATCCCTTTAGCCCCTTTAAAGTACCCTACTAAACCCCCATTCAAAGAGATAGAGAAAGACGGAGTAGTGACACAGCTCTTGATCCAGCCTATCATGACAGTCGGCATACCAAGGGCCTCCAAAACAGCAATAAAAAATCATCAATCCACGGAATCGAAGGCCTTCTGCAAATCCAGTTTCAAAGCACACCTAGGGGAAAGGAAAGACCTATTGTACCCCTTAACCAACTCTTGAGCCATCAACGTATCACGAATACTACACCCCGGAATAAAGGCATTTTGACTACAAGAAATAACCTCAGATAAGGAAAGCTTAATACGTGCAACGATGATTCGAGTGACACACTTATAGATCACATTGCAATAAGAAATAGGGCGAAAATCACTCATATGGATGGGATTAAACTTTTTGGGGACCAAAACTAAACTGGTAGCATTTAAAGCAGCAAACAAATAAGAACTTTCAAAGAAAAATAGCACTGCACGAATCACATCCTCCCCAACAATCTCCCAAGCCACTATAAAAAATGGGAAGTATACCCATCAAGTCAAGGGGCCTTATCCGAACCTTGGGCAAACATGGCAGCCTTTACCTTATTACGAGACACAACTCTCCTCATAAAATCCTTGGCAACATCAGAAAAGGAAGCACCCAACTGATCTCTAAGGAGCTCACCCGAAAGCTTAGGGTCAGGCCTCGACTAGTCTCCCAATAATTTCTTGAAGAACCCCAAAGTCTCCTCAACAATCTGGTCCTGAGAATCCAACAGCTGCCCCTGGTCATTCTGGAGGGTGTGAACAGTGTGCTGATTCTGTTACAGTCACCATGGAGTGAAAATTTTAGTCCATTTACATGTGTTAATTGCTTTTACTTTTGTCTATAATTTCAATTTCTTTAAATTTAGCCCTAGAATTTTAGATTTTAAATTAAACCTTTAGATTTATAGTATTTTAGTCTTAATCTAGATTACTTAGATTTTAGGTTTAGTATTTAAATTTAGAGGAATTATTAATTTGGTCATCGCTTTTGCTCGTGCTTCCATTTTAATTATCTGAATCAAATAATTGATTAAAATCGACTAGGTTAATAATTAGAGCTTCCATTTTAGGTTTATTTTCAAACTTAGTCTTTAAATTTAGGGAAATTTTTAATTTGGTCATCGCTTTTGCTCGAGGTTCCATTTCAATTATTTGAATCAAATAATTAATTAAAATTGACTAGGTTAATAATTAGATCCTCCAATTTAGGTTTAATTTCAAACTTAGTCCTTAAATTTAGGGGAATTTTTATTTGGTCCTTGCTTTTACTTGAGGTTCAATTTTAATTATTTGATTCAAAAATTTATTAAAAATTATTTGGATTAATATTAGAACCTACATTTTTAGGTTTAATCTCCTAGGTGCTTTAAATTTCATAATTTGATACTTTAAGTTTGAAGAAACCCCTTAATTAATCCATTTAGTATAAATAGGTTCTATAACTGATTGTTTGATCGTATTTTGTTTTCAAAATAAGACAATGTTCATTTATTAGGGGTTATCTCCCGCTTTTACCAGGGGTGACCGCTATCGATTCTTGAAGTAAATTAACATCCTTTTCAAAACTGCACATCATGATTTCTAAATTATTAAGTCAATGTTTATTTATTATGGCTGATAACGAAACTTTTGCTTTTGCTTGGGGGTGGTCGCTATTAGTCAATGTAGATCGACATCTTTTTTCAAAAAGAAATATGCATACATAGTGGATTTTAAATTATATAAAATTTCAAACTCAAAATTTTCAATTTTAAAATATAGGGTAATCGATTAGGTACTAATTTTGGACACTATGAGGGTGCTAATCCTTCCCCACGCGAATTGACTCACGAACTCGATTTTTGATTTCGCATACCAAAACTTGGTATTTTTAGTAAAATAAATTATTTTATTAAAATGACTTGATTTTAGGTGTTAGAATCTTACCTTAAAATGATTGGTGTCGACTCCCATCGAAAATTGGTTGCGACAGTAATCTCAGTAGTTAAAGGAGGTAATGTTTTTTCTTTAGATCGTGAGTTCGAGTAACTACGTTTGCAAGGTGTATATAAGTTGTCAATAGTTAAGAAAATTATAAACACATAGTGTCTCTAATTATTGGAATGTTATGTACATATTTTTTTTACTAATTAACGAAGTTTATTTAGAATTAAAATATTAAAATTAGGAGTGAGTAATCTAGCACTTGATTTCTTTCGTGTATACTCAATTCAATTGTTTTTTTCTTCTCGGTTCTCAAGGCTTCGTCATGTTAATTCGGATCGATCCTGGTCGCACACCTGATTTTGTTAAGTGAGTCTCTCGATAGAAATTTTCTGTATACACAAGGACTTAAACTCGAGACCCAAATCATTTCGAATTTGATGTCTCCTCCCACCAAATTTTTTATTCATTTAATATTGAATTTATCAACCGTTAGGTCTCACACACACTATATATATGTTTGTGTTAAAACAAGAGAATATTGTGTTGGAGAGAGATTAGATAAGTAGAAAAAGATGACGGCCGAAATCTCCAAGGAAGACGAAAGCAATTTACGGGCTCATTTCCAGTTGCAGAAAACTCTAAAGCTTCTCCATTACATGACAACCGGTGCCTACGGCAACGAGATCATGGCTCGAAGCCTTCGTGGTTTTCAGCTCATTCAAGTCGGCGCAAGAAGTCTTCAGCTCATTCAAGTCGACGCCAGTTTCTTGCTGTGTAACTTCATCGTTTCCGCTTACGCTTCTATAATCTCTCTCCTCGTCTCAGGTTAAACCGAGAAAGGATGGGAGAAATTGAGGAAGGCCGGGAGAAGTAATTGTCCTCTTAAAAATTTAAAAATATTATATATTTTAAATTTTTTTATATATTTTTTATTTAAAATATGTTTTCACATTTTTTTAAATTTTATAAAAATTTAGATATCTCGTTTATATTTTTAATAATCCAAATAAATAATCGACAAGGTTGGTGGCTTAGCCATAAACTCCGTCGGTAACCATATAAACATCACCGTCAGTTTCAACATTCAATATCATTCTACGGCTAAGATTCAGGTTAATTTGCTTGCTTCTTTCTTACTTTTCAATATCAACAAATGTAAATCCAAACCCTTGAAATTTAATTTAATCCCGAGAGTTATGAGAAAAGAGAGAAAAATATCGGGGAAAATTATATATATTGTAATCACAATTTTTATCCCCATATATATATATATATATATATATATTATTATTATATATTATTATTACTAAAAATACAAAAAGAAAAAAAAGAAAAGTACAAGGGAGAAGAGGAAATCCCTTAATATCCGCTGCTGCCACCAATGTTGCTCCTTGCCAAGCCCGACAGTTTCAGCATCCAGCATCTGACCAGCCGATTCTTCGGCTGACAACCCTTCATCACCTCCTTTTTGCTGCTAGTAACCATCTCCAAGATATATGTTGCTGCAAATGA